CCCGAAACATTACATGTACCTCTATTTTTTGTTTTTTATACTATAGTAAAATAAAAAAATTAACAAAAAAATTACTGCAAAATAATACTAGATTTCTTGTAATGAATGAAAATTAAGATGAAAACAAAAACAAGAACTACCTACCTACTTGATAGTTCTTTTAAGCTTTTTTCCTCTTAACTGCGCACTAATTTATTTCATATTTAGCCATAAGATCCGAATGTGCTACAATCTAAATTTTATAAATTTCACATTGTTCAAAACAACCAAATATGGGATGCAAGTTGCAAATCATGGAGATTTTTATGACTACACTTCATTCCTAAGTTGTATAAAAACCAAAATGCAATTAACTAATGATGTTGAAGTTTTACTTGCCTTAATTCACTTTTAGACCATTTCATTCTCTAACTTAAACCACTCAATCTTATATATCATGCACACGGATAGTATATGTTACATAAGCTAAAAAAAAAAGAGAGAGAAAAACGGTGGGGCTTGGAGTGATTGTAAAATGTTTCATAATTCTATAAATTTTATGTAAGATCCGAATGTGCTACAATCTAAATTTTATAAATTTCATTCATTGTTCAATACAACCAAATATGGGATGCAAGTTGCATAATCATAGAGATTTTTAAGACTGCACTTCATTCCGAAATGGAATAAAAACCAAAACGCAATTACCTAACGATTTTGATCTGCTGCTTACCTTAATTCACTTTTCAATATGTAACTTAAACCACTCAATCTTATATATCATGCACACACATAGTATAGTTACATAAGCTAAAAGAAAAAAAGTTAGTGAAACAACGGCGCTTGAAATGATAGTAATTTTTTCATAATTCTTGTAGTTTTTCATTTTGCATCGATTGCTCTTGGAGATGAGGTAGGAATAGACGAAAGATGCGACCAAACAGTTCCACACCTTGTCCAATGCAAAAATCTTATGATTCAGCATCCGACCCATAGCCCTATAACAAGCTCGACTGAGTTCTTAAAGGTGTACCTAGAACGGACACTAGAGGGAGCTGTGAAAGCCAAGAGCGACACGTACTCACTCGGGTCACAGTTTGATTCGAAGGAAGCGTGGGAGAACTACATGGATCTGTACGACGAGACCATCTACAGGCTCAACCAGTCCGTCTTGTCGTGTCTAACGAACGCGTGCTCTGGATCGGACGTGCAAACTTGGCTAAGCACGACGTTGACGAACCTGGACACATGTCGGGAAGGGATGGGTGTCTCATCTGAGTCCTTACAATCGGTGTTACAGAGCATCACCATTGATGTTATTAACGCCTTGGCCATTATCAAGGTAACATGACTCTTTCATTCTCAAATTAGCTTAGTCTTTTTTTTTAAACATAAAAAAAACAGAGGTTGAAACACGGGATGAAAACAAAGGAGAAGTATTTTGGGGTATTAAAACAAGGAGCAATAGAATCGCCGACTAATGGTGGAAGGGTGGATGCAGTAGTAGCCCTAGACGGCTCAGGCGACTACAAGACGATCCAAGAAGCGATTCTATTGATCCAAGACGATCCACCACCTCAAGTGAAGATTGTGTATTTGAGAACATTACTGAAGCATTCAACACAATATCAAAGAATATCCATTCTTACTCTCTTCTAAATGTGGAAATATAGAGTCTGATGTATAGCACAATTCATAAACAATTGTCCCGAACGCGTATTTTTTTAACGCACTTTTTTACGCTCCTACAAAGACAACTCCAACACAAAATAACTTCAACTCTAGTTTAAGCATTGTTGCCAATGGAAGTGAAGAAATCCTATTCTAAAGCAAAAGCTCTACAATAACGCCTTGTACTTGGTTTCCGCTTAATTTCTTTTTCTCTCCAACTCTGTCTCCTTCACAATCCTCTCCCAACTGCTACCACTTCACATCTTGAGAAAGGAAGACCATTGTTTAGCGTAATGCTAAAGCACCACTATACTACCTGTAATTTAAGTAATAATGATCATAGTCAGCGTAGAGAGAAAAAATGTATCACCAAGAACATAAGCTGGAGGAGATAAGAATGAGATATAAAAAAAAAAAAATTCAATCCAACTTCAACCTAAGTTCTTTCAATTCCATCGAGATTTATAAAAGGAAAATCTCTGTCTTTGAACCTTTTATACCGGTGGCTTTACGGCTTTACTGATTTTGATCCAACAAAAAACTTAAGTTCAACTTAAACACCGTTCCGAACAGAGATAAATTTTGAGTTGAAACCAACCACAACCTTATACATGGAAAGCAAAAGCGACTGTAGCATGAACAATTGAAACGAAGAAAATGCAGTAGACATTAACGGGAGCTTACTGACCATTAGGAACCTCTTGCTGTAGTTGGGATGTCTAAACATGTTTTGTTTGCTGATAAATGCATCACATGGTAAACCAAAGGTGGCTACTCTACAGCATAGTGAGTGAAAAGGAAAGGAAAGGGAAAGAAATTCAAGTAAGATTTCAGATATTCAAATTTGATAATTATAAGTTACATGATCAATTGGCATGTATAGAGGTCTAAAGCAACTGCGTAGTTTCAAGAATCCCAATTGAAATGAGACAAATCCCACAACTGTTCTATCTTATTCCCCAATGAAAAGTGCACATCTATGGAAGAACAGACAACTGAAATTTGGTAACCAACTTACCAGAAATACTCATATATATTTGCTCTAAAGATTTAGACCAGCATATAAATAATTTCACTTCCTTTGCTCTCCATGTCTTTTTGTAAGCACTCAGTGAGAAATTTCCATCCAAATTGGAGAAGATATAAGAGCTTGTGAATATGGTATAACATAATCACTCTGGATTTGGTCTTAAGCATCTATTTTGAATATGTACCAGCTGTGTTGAAACAATTGTCAAAACAGAAGAGAGAGGAAGTGCAGCATTGCATTAAGTAGTATATGAGGTGAAGAAGCTCTTCCATTGTTAAAGTCTTAAAGACGACTACAAATTAAAATATTGAATTAGTTTGAAACCAACCTGATCAAAACACATGAAACAAACATCTCACCCATTGAAAGCCTCACCTCAGACTTACGCCATTGATGCTATCTGACCTGCGGTAACGTGTGCTTAAAAAAAAAAAATAGGTTGCAAAAATATTTTATCTTCCCCTAACTACTACAACACCATTTTCTCATTCATAACTTCAACTTCATTACAAGAACAGAAAGAGAATATGACTGGTTGTGGGTTTGATTTTTCTCGAAACTTGTGCTTACTTTGTCTTTAGACCCACAAACTTATCCTCACCACAACCCAATTCATGAAACTAACTTCTACTATAACCTACGACCATTCATTTTGTTTGACGTAACAGAGAAATACATAGACAATTGTTTTTGCAGATAGACTTAGGAACATGAACTATGAATGTATATTTATTGGAAAAACTGATGATAAGACAATTGATTACCTTATGCGATTTCTTAGCTTGTTCTTTCCCTTTGCAGTCTGGATCATAATATCCTAACAGAAACTCCCAAATCGCACTTATAGTTGAGGATGATCCCTGAAAAATAAACCAAGTGAACAGCACAAACAAGGAAAAGATCAATGATAGCCGCAAGACAGAGATAGAAAAGATCATTCACTGATGATTAGTCCTCACGTACAGACACACCTGCATATACATTTGATTCACATGTATTAGCCATAAAATTATATGTGATTGACAAGAGGATCCTTTTTTGATTGGGCAAGAAGCAAAAAAGGTGAAGCTCTTTTAAAGCCATTAATTTTGGAACCCTAACGTCAAAGGAGAAGCGTCAAGGTTGAGAATATTAAAATATTATTTGCTTTTTTTTGTTCAAAACTGATGTTGAACACATGACACTATATGAAGAGATAACGTGTCAAAAGGTTGGAGAAAGCTATTCCACTTTCATATAGTAGATTTTCAATGGCATTTTGGTACGATTTTACCATCCTCTCAAAAGCTATAACAACAAAATGAGTAAAGACCCAACAAAGATGAGCCCAAACAAGCTTAAAATCATGAAATCATTATAATGGTCCGATAACAGCATGTTGGCGTTTTTTGAAAGATTTTAGCGTAAACATAATGAGTTAAGCCCAAACCTAACTTGGTCCATAATTTTGACTCATCAAAGATTCACGTTAAACCAAAAACGGTTCACATCTAATTAGAATCGGTATTACAATCGGATGTTGCAAAACTATCCAATTGCATATTAATCCAGACTTAATTTTGGCATCCAGAAGACTTTTTATATGATCCAAGACTGATATATGATCCAGAATAACATACATATCGGGTATGGCAACTGACTACATAGTTATGTGCGCATGATTGTGATGATGTGAAAGCTCCGTTGTGTGAAAGATGTGATTATAAGTTGATTGAGATCATGAAGGAAAGGTTGAGATGCTTTGATATGACTACAAAAGTTATGTTAATTGTGTTTAGACATGTTAGGTTGTATGTTGTTTGTGTTATGTCTTGGTCTAATATATGTGTATAATGGTATAAATTATTATTGTAATGTGATCATTGAACAGGGGTAAGCTC